GCCGGTGCGGCCCGGGGCCCCGGCCCGGCTGCGGGGGCCCTCCCGCCTCGGGCGGTTCCTGGCGGCCGTTGGCAGCGGGCAGGGCCTGGGGCGGGAGGTGCCGCTGTGGGGAGCGGCTGCCGGGGCCCCCGCGCCCGCTCTGGCGGGGACGCGGCCCCGCTTTCCCCTTGGAACACAGCGGGAAAGTTGAAGTGGCGCCGATGCTGAGGAGGGTGTTGCGGTTCGCCTGTAGCTCAGCCTGTCGCGACAGCCGCTGGCTCAACCTGTGCCTCTGTGCGGAGCACCTTGGCCTAGCGCGCTTACCCGTTCCTAGGTGGAGCGGTGCCGGTCCTGCCGGGAGCCGTGTGTGTTTGTCGCTAACCAGGCGTGCAGGGCAGGGGTCTTAGGGTTGAGAGGTGTCTGTGCACAAAACTACAGCCTCTTTCCTGCTAGAGTTTCTTTTTTTAAAAAAATGTTATTTTGTGGTTTAGGTGGTTAAAAAGATGTTAACTTTAAAGTATTTWAAAAGCTTCTAAGCATAGGACATATTAATACAGGGGGTTTTCTGGTTGCACGTAGCTTTGGCATGCGGCAGAAGTCACAAGAGGTGAGATAAAGATGTGTTTCCAATAAAATGCAGACTTTTCTTTCTGCGCTGTTTATTCTTCTGTGGTTGCGTGGAGGGAAAGTGCTGATGAGACAACCTGCAGCATCGTTACGGCCCGGCAAACTCTGGTGCTAACAGTCTTGGTATGTATTGTTGCAATATTAACTAGTAATAGTTACTTTAACAGGCAGGTTCAGCATGAGGAGAGCAAACTGTAAATCTTTAATTTTGTGTGTGTGTTTTTAAAGGAGAACACATCCAGCAGCTAGAATTGTGTGAATTTGAAGCTTCTCTTCGTGCTCAGTTCTTGCTGACTGATGCAGAGAACAAGCTCCTGGCTTCGAGAGCTGTGTTTGCTTTTTTTACCTTTTTTTTTTTTTTCCCTTCCAAATGGGGACAAMCCCAAAATGGTATTTTCTCCATGGTAGCGTGTTATTCAATGCAGTGTTTGTTCAGAGAAGGAATGCTTGCTGTACAGGGATTGAGAACTACACATAGCACATGAAAGGGAATGAGTCGAGTACATCAATTTTGTATGTTATCAAAGGAAAGTTGGAGGAAAGCCTATAAAAGGGATGTCACGTCAGCCATGACAATGTAGGATTTTTTTTATACAATGTATAACAGATATAATTTCCATTTCTCTTGTGGAATCATCAGTTATATCTTTAGTAATAGAACTCTAGTGGCCTAAGGGGATATCTTTCAAGAAGAATGAGCAGAGTGCAGCTGAAGGCTTTCTTAATAGAAAACTTTGAAGCTGTATTTGCTATCCCATAGGCATTCTTGTCAGCTGCATCAGCTTTTGACAGTGTGGGAGGTATCTGTTCCCTGCAGGGGATGCAAAGTAGGGAAAATAATCTGAGGGGTGTTTACAGTGTCATGGATCAGCTTGCAGGAATAGGCATCCTATAGATATATTACTGATTCTGAGGGTAACCTGCCAAATGATTCCCCAAAACACTTGCCTTGGCACTGCTCCCTAATCCAGCTAGGTATAAACTCTGTTTGCTGTTGAGGGCTCCATATGTGAAAGGAGACCTACTGCTTGTTCTTATTCTCTCACGTGATTGCCACCTCCCCTTTGGAGATCTCAGAGTTATCAAAATAAAAAAAAATGTAATAATGCAGAAGAAAGATGTTGTACATAGGACAAATACAGGAAAACTAATGAGTACAAGTGGGCAGAAGGTGTTGATTTGTTTTGAAATTAGAGTGGGAGTATCTATCAAATTCTATGGGAGGATCAGACGATAAAAAAAAAGTCTTCAAATGGAGATGGGAGAAGAATCAAAGAAATGGCATTAAAGGAAGACTGAAAAGATTTTTATTTTATTTTATTTCTCCAACTATTACTAATTTAATACCTGGCTTTCAGTGCAGGCTACAAGCTGATTTGTTTAAGAAACCTGTGGGTGATGGGGCTCRTGAGATTTAGTGGTGCTGGGAAACACTTGGCAAACTTGCTGGTTTCAGCTCTGTGGTTATGTTTGCAGAATTCATTATTGGGTTTCATCAATGTCTTCAAAACTACCTGCTCTGATGATATCCCTAAAACAGGAGCAGCGTGGCAGCTGGTGCCCTCCTAGCTTGTTKGCTGTATGAGCAGTGAGTCGCTTGGTTGTTTATATCCACCTGTTGTTCATGCAGAGTTGGTTGTGGCAATGAYTTGCCCCTCTAAATATGGGCTGTATTCGGGAACTAGAAAGTGGCTTTTTTAGGTGTCAATTCTGGTTCTTCTCAAACAAATACAGCACTCCCAGGTTGATTTGAAGGTTTTCCCTTCACAGCCTCGCAGAAAACTGGCAGCAGCAGGATGATGCGGTCCAATTTTCTTAAGTTTGGCCRTGTCTGGAGGAGAATTTGCTTCTAGCAAACAAGTAGCTCTAGATTTCAGTTTTTTTTTCCACGTGGTACTCTTCTTTAGAACACAGCTATGTGTTTGTTGTTCATTAATGGTAAGCTGGATAAACTCACTTAAAGCTCAATGCAACATGGCCAAATGCTAGCTCTATTTTTATATGTTCTATGTGCACAGTATCCTGTTGTGAGTTGTAACGCTGACGTGATTTTTGTTCTAGTTATGGCTTGAATTTAGAAGGCTTTTATCACTTGAAAGCTCATGTGCTTCCCCAGACAATGTAGATAAGGAGGTCTCTGCAGGTAGGAGAACACAATTTGGACRTGAAGGGGAGGAGAGCCACCAGTGGCAAGATCAAGTCCAGAACGTGAGCTTCCACCTGGGGAAATGCAGAAACAGCAGAGTTCATTACTGGGAAATTCTGAAACAGCAGAATTCGTTACTGAGAGGTTGCATTTGAAAGGTTTTTGCATCTTCTAACTTTTTTTTTTTTTTAAACTTAGGGGATTTCTGCTATCCTGTCTTTCAGTTGTCAAATGCAGTCTCTCTGTGGCTTATATCTCATTCTAAAATTTATTAATTTTTAATGATGTGAATGACTACAGTTGATTTCATTAGATTAAACAGTAGTGCTGGAGATGCTTGTGCTTGACTGTTGCTTTATTTATGTATTTATTTTCGAGATTTATGTTCCCTTCCTGCCCTCTTCCCCCTCCTCCACTTTGACTTTCATGTTCCTAGAGTTGTTCTGCATATTATTTCTGAAAACCTACGTATTATTTTCTCTTCTATGTAGTTAAGGCACTGATGTTTTTTTTTAAGGACTTTGAACCTATTTTATGCTTTTAGTTTTATTGAGGAAACACAAGACAGTGTTTTTATACTGTCCCAGAAGGTTATTAAAGGTTAGAGAGTTTTATTTGGTATAGTAATGCTGGTGTACCTTGCTGTAAATCTGCTTTTTCGTTTTCTGTTTGAGTCAGGATGTGAGCAGCTTCTCGCATCTAATTGTACGAACCTGCTCCTGCGTCTCAAACACAGTGAAAAATCGTTTACATCTCTAATACTCTTCTGTCTTTGAAACACTTTATAATTTGTTGTGGAGTGTAACTATGAAAATTACTTCACTTTTGTCTATACCAGCACTGAATTGCAGATCTTGAATGAGTAATCTAATGACCTGATCTCCTTCAAGAATTAAATAATTGTCCAATTGTAAATGTCACTTTTTCACAAGTGCTCTRTTTGTTTCCTGAATACTTTCAAAGCTGAATAGTGAAGAGAGGTAGAATACGGTTAGCATCTATATTTTTAGGAGCTTTGGAGGTGAATGGATTTTTGCACAAATTGTTACCTGGAACAGGATAATGAGAACTGACATTAGCTCATGTCATGTTACAGATGTGACACTGTAATCGGAGTGCTTCCAGAGCATGTACACTCAGTCTTTGCTTTGCTTCATCATATTGATAAACCTGATGCCTTAAAAAGAAGCTCATCCCTCTCCAGTTTCCCTTATGTATATAATAACTGTGTTTGTGGGTGTCACTCTAATAATCTTTTGCCCTTTTACTCAGATTCTTTTGTGTGTAATAACTTAGCAGTTTCATTTCCTCATTCTTTSCAAGTTAATGTTGAATGCTATAGGTTATATAAAATGAAATATTTTTGTTTACATTAAATGCTGTCAACGATGTTGTTGAATCAAATAATGAATAGACACAATTTTAAAAGAGATTTTTCCCAACTCTTTAATTCAGTGATGGAGGGTCAAGAATATTAAGTACCTGGAAAGCAGTGCTCACAGCTGTTTACTTCACGTGGTTTGCTTGATCTCAGATCTTTTTGATGTTGCTGTCTTTTTGGCATGTACTGATATTTTAGCGCACATAAAGATTTAAGTCGGCTTAAGGAAGACTAAGTTGTACAATGGTTGCAAGTTACGTGGTGCAGTTCTGGGGTGAAAGACATCTTAGAAGGCCCATGAAAATGTTGAGTGARGCTTAATTCCTTCCTGAATCCTAAACACCAAGCTAGACTCCTGGGGCTGCTGTGGTTTACAAGGCTTAAAAGCATCTGTTGGTCTTCCAAGGTGCATCTGTCTTGAAGGAAAAATAAGCATGCAGGAGAGTTTGAGCTAGGTGATGGATGTAGTGAGAGAACCTCCTCCCTGTTTCTCTTTGCTCTTTCCCTCACCTTGTGCATCTTGTAGCTTCTTAAGACGGTAGGTAGCATGAGAGGACCTACAGACGTGAGTGGTGGCTGTTTTGTCACTCTCAGTGTTTTGGCAGTGAAGAACCTTAAGGGAATATTAGCTAGTCATTTCTGGTTTCTTAGTTCTCAAAAGCTTTTGGCAGACTTTGGAATTCACGCAGATCTTTGTGTGCATGGGCATTATTTTTTTTGTAAAAGTCAACGGAATCCTTGACTTACCTCCTTAAAATTTGCCTTTTGGTGCCCAGCCTTTCCAATGTTGTTGTGGCTCTATTCCCATGAATCCTAGGAAGCACAAGTATAAATATAATTTAAAAAAAAAAAATGCAAATACAGGTCCCGAGTAGCTTGTTTTAATTGTTATTCTAAGATCATTGGAGCCTGCATTTCTTGGTAGTGTTGCTATATTAAGTTCTGATAGCTTTAACAAAGCTTTGTTTATTAGTTCAAGTTAAAGCTAGCAAAAAAAACCTACTTTGACTTCTTGTTACTCTCCAAGAAAGAAAAGCGTTCAACTGTTTGTAACTGAAGAGCATCATAAGCAAAGTTGTCTGGTTTAGGTTTTTGTGGCAAATTGGGCTCTGTTTCAGGACTGAGAAGGCTTGAGGTTTGTGCGGTCTTCACTCAGTGCAAGTCTATAGGGGTGGTAGAGGGGAATAAAACATGTTTACAGTGGAAAATAACTTGCAAGATTTTTTTTTTCTCTCTYTGTGGAAGGACTACTGCTGCTCCATAATAATGAGAAAGTTGCAGCTATTTTAAGCCTGTGATGGAGGATGCCTTTGGATTGTTCTTGGCAATATTGCCTTGGCAGGTTGCCAGAACCTGCTTCTATAATTTGTCAGAAAAATAATATTATAAAGGGAAATATTTAATGTTCATTTTAAAAACAGCTTTTGAAAATATTTGCTCCTTTTATTTAAAGGAAGCCACCTCTCTGAGGGTACATCCTTGATTGTCAGTACTTTGAAAAGAGAACTTGATCTTATCTGTTGCCCAAAGGCTGGATGGGGCTTTGGGAAGTCTCTTGTTTGGCCTCTTTCTGGAAGCAGGGTCAGCTCTGAGTTCAGACCAGGTTGCTCAGAGCTTTTACTCATCTGGGTTTTAAGAGCATCTCAGGATGGTGATTGCAGAACTTTCCCGGGTCTCTCTTTCACTGCGTGGCTGTCCTCATGGGGGAAGAGATCCTGTCTCCAAAGTGCCGGGTGAAGGGCTGTAGTCGCAGCCTCACTTTAGTGCCTGGTACAATCCAGGACACTGTGGCCCCTGGTGCTTGTGCATCCTCTATGGCTTTAGTAAAACTGCTTTCTATCCCTGGTGGAGAAAACGGAGGCATCTGTGTCCAGCAAGGCTGCTTTGTGCCTTTGGAGTCACAGCACAGACCCCTCCAGAGCCCAGGCAGCTTCCTGAAGGGTGTGCAAAGGGGGACTACAGAGGTGCCGTCTGGACTGGGAATATGAGCTTTTTCCATGTGCAACACCAGGAAATGCTTTAAAAGGTTAATTCTGAGTCACGCATTTCTGTCCTTAGTCAGTACCATTTAAAAAAAAAAAAAAAAATCTGAAAAGAGCCTTTTTATTGAAGCGTCCCAAGGCTGCACAGCGCGGMAGGCAGCGCGCTCCCCCTCCTGGTGGGTTCTCTGAAGCGTCCCTTGAGCAAGTGGGGGAGATGGGGGGAGAGAAGAGGGGGCTTAAATGCCCAAGTACTGCAGATCTCCTCTTTTCTCCTCTCCTGTTTTCTTTATCTTCCCCAAACCCTTGAATGTATTGAGAATCTTCTGAGTTCAAGAGCTATATAATAACTGTATTTGTTCCTAGTTCCAGGTTTGTTCCTTTTTTCTCTAATGAAATTTTTTAATATATATACTCCAAGTAGACTGTTTCCTAGTATGTATATCCTGTCACTTAAAACAAGCTGTGTAATTTCTGTTGGCCTGACTAGCAATAGTATTCAAACTGAATTATAAAATACAACTGGAGTCACATTAATCTGTATTATAAACACAGCCTTTGTAGCTCAAAGCCTGAGCTACAGTCATGTAATCTTTTTAATTGGTGCCATTTTGCAGAATACTCTTGCAAGCCCTTGGTGTCTACCCACAGACTTTCAGTGYCTAAACATCTCCTGTAAGCAATATGTAGTCCTAGTGGAAGTTTTAAGTCTCCAATTTGTGCTTTCTCATTAGATACCCATTATGGCTTCGTCATCAACMCCTAAATATAATTCAAACTCTTTGGAGAGCTCCTCAATTAAAAGGGTGAGTGTAACGTATTTTTCATGTTTTTAAATTGAATGTTGCAGAGATCATCACCTTTCGTATTTAAATCCAAAATTGTTTATTTTTGGATGGCACTTTTCTTGAATGTGAATATTTACTTTTATTATTCACATTATTATATTTATTATTTAAATAYGGTCAACCAAGTAAGTTTAATATATTTCAATGTGCTTGAGAAAAATAATCTTAAGTTATGAAACCAATTCTAATATACTAATCTGTTGGTATTTTTGCTTTCTACATTGAAATTTTCCATAGATTTGTTGCAATTTTGGCAAATCTAGGCTATACAAAAGTTACGTAGTGCAGCTGAGTTTTATCTAGTTGTGTGGCTGGCCCAGTTTAAAAATGTTGATATGTAGGGGGAGTGTTCACCTTAAAGCCAGCTAAAAGATTAATCTCTGCTTTGGGCTGCTATGAGGTGAAGTAAAATACCACCTCTGTGCCAGAACATACTCTAAAGGTTTAAATATTTTGAAAACAGATCTTAAAAACCAAGATTAACCTTTTTAGTCCTTTTYTAATAAGTACTGAACATGCAAAAATCACAAATAAGTAAATTATATGTGGTGGTTGTGAATGTATTGCTCAAGTGATTTTGTTTGATTTGTTTTCTAAGCTGAGCAAACTTTTTTTTCCAGGAAAATGTAAGATAAAAAAACTTCTCTGGCACTCGTGGTATATAAATTTAATTCCAGTTTAATGCAACTTAATTATCCTGCAGGAAGGAGAGAAATTAAAGCATGCKCATGTTTCAGCTCTGTTCAATGTTTAATATTTAATAATTGCGGGTTAAGAGAGTAGTGTTTTTTCTCTATGGATTTCATATGTATATTTCTACTGTGAATAAGCCTGATCTTTCAAATACATTCCCTTTAAGATTATTCCATCTGAAAATTAAAACAGTTGCAAATAAAACATGTTCTACTGTTGTACCTCTTTCTCTTTAGACTCTAAAAGAYGGAACTAATTGGGAACAAAATGAGGAAATACCTCGGTTGCCAGGAGAAACTAGAGTTACAGGTAGGAAGTTGTACAATGCAGTTAATGTTGAAGGAGTCTGCCATACATGTGTCTTACTGGACTGTTAATTATTAATACCAATTAATAATGGTATTAATTGGACAGAGTGGTAAGTTGTATTAAAATWTCATATATTTCAAATAATCCCTTTAGAAAATTTAGATTCTTGACTTTCACATGTAGATTCTCTAGTAAAAAGAAATGCCAAGATGTGTGATAATCATATGTACAGTAGCTTGTGTCTAGTGACAAGATTCCCTCAAATGTTTTTGAATTCAAAAGACAGTGCAATATGCCACACGCTGTGCCTTGATCTCTTGCACGTTCGTGTGTAACTGTAGTCCAATCCATAGCTGGGCTACGTGCAGTCTCATGCTTCCTTTACACAACATGACAGGCACTTAACCACTGTGCACTTGGCAGCCCTGACATGTATTAATGCTGTAGCACAAGGAAGATGAATGTATGGCAAGCAGTGCATCCCACTTGGGTTGAGGCTTTTCCTGGAATGGAGCTTTCACTCACAGAAGTTTGTTTATAGAATGCAGCTGAAAGAGGTTGAAAAATTGAAGTGCAGTGATTCTCTTCAGGATAGAGAGTTCCATTAAAAAAATTTGCAACCTGAACTATACTTTAGTGTAGGAGAACTGTCTGCAGAGCGCTAAAAGACATAATATTATCAACAAAAGACTGCTTTTGTTCTGGGATATTAAATGGTGCAGAGCAGTAATCGCAGGAGGCATTTAAGTTGCTGTTCTGTGTCCCACTATCCCACACATGGGGCAAGAATGAGTAGAAAGCAAATGTAACTAGGAAGACTACTGAAATCAAGCAGGAGAGTTTAAGCAAGTTTAGTATTTGAAATGTCCACATTTTGGATGGACAAAATTCAATTTTATACTTTTTCCTTTCTTTCACTTTATTAGAGTGGTTCTTAAGCATGATTAGCTTTATTTTATTGCTGTTTAATTGTTGTGCTTAAATCTGTTTTTATTTCATAATATTGAAGAAATGTTGTATTGCTTTACAGACAAGGATGTAATTTATATGTGTCCATTCAATGGCCCTGTTAAAGGACGAGTGTACATCACGAACTACAGACTGTACCTAAGAAGTGTGGAAACGGTGAGCAGTGTGCCCCCAGTTACTTCCATGGGATGAATTAATACCCCCCATCTTATTGCTGCATTTTATCTACCTAGTGGTCAGTTAGTTTGTTTCTTAGTTTATGGGGCTGTTGGGGCTTGAGGGAATGGTAGTGTTTGATAAGCTGTGGCATGAAAGAATAAAATGAGCTGTTGACCCTTTAATATGTTTAAAGGAAAAAAAAGGATTTAAGATTACTGAATTAAGATCATTCTGGTGGCAACTGACTCTCACCTTTTTTTATTTTCCTACCAACTGTCTTTTGGCATAAAACGTTTGTTTGGTGCATGTAAAAGTGTTCAAACCTGCAGAGTGCAGACTTCCTAGAGATGTTGAGAGGGAAGACTCAGTCAAACCCAGAAACACTCCTGTGTTTTGTTTCCTGTATTTTCCTATCAGATTTCTATTGTAGAGTGCATAAGAGCAGTTTGTCTGAGTTCCTTTTCAGAGTAATCCTTTCCTTTCCTGACTTTTCCTTGTAGGACCCAGTTGTGGTGTTGAATGTTCCTTTGGGTGTGATTTCAAGGATTGAAAAAATGGGAGGTGCCTCAAGCAGAGGAGAGAATTCTTATGGATTAGATATAACGTGTAAAGTAAGACTTTCTTTTAATTCAATACAAGACAATATATGTGCTCTTTTTCTCATCCATTTGTAGCAATGAGAAACCATATACTCCTCACAGCTGCATTTGAAAAGAACCTTTTGGAACTGGAAGCACCTTTTGCATGAAGGGCAGCTTACCATTGTGTCTGTGCAGGTGTTTAGAGACGGATTGATCGTTCCCTAATTGATGAATGGCAGGTCATTTTGCACAGTAGTCTGGTTTGAGAACTGGGCTGGGGAAAGTAAACTGGCATTATTCCTGCACTACTTCATATATTTTATTGGTTCTGAATAAATTTTATTGTTTCATAAACTTTAAATCTTTGAAGAGCCACCCAGTGCTTAAAGGAGTGAGAGGCTTTTGCAAACTGTAAAGGCAGTAAAAAGTTAATGTAACCTCTATCTTCATTATTCTTTTAGTCTTTAAAAAAAAAAGATGAAAAAAATAGGATTATGGGGGGAGTTCCCATTGAATAATCCAGGGTCCTGCCTTTGACTCTTTAGTGGCATATATATGTACAGCCTGTTTATTCTCAGTAGTTAATGTACACATTTTGCCTGGTTATTTTCTCTTCCCTGACACTAACTAACTGAAAGGAAAAAAAAAAGCAATGTAGCCTAGTCAGATTATTAGCAATGTTTTACTTTGGAAACATGGAGTAACTCTGCTCCCACAATCATTCAATAAGCCGTGAAACTTCAGTGATTCAGGTAGTCGCTTGTGATGACTTAATATCAAAGCAGTGTAACTCTATTTTCGCTACACAGCATGTGAAGCAGCTATTTGTAAAGTCATAAGCTCTCTCCTATTTCATGGAATAGGGAGATAAAACTGAACATTCACAACAGTTTGAAGTGTGTGGCAAGCAGATGCTAAATCATGTTTAGAGTATAAAATAGCATTTATACATCAAATAAAAGTACCTTGCTGCTTTGCTTCTTTTAAAAGATAATGTCATTGTTCTAGGATATGAGAAACTTAAGGTTTGCATTAAAACAAGAAGGGCACAGTAGAAGAGATATATTTGAAGTCCTCACAAAACATGCTTTTCCCCAGTCACATAACTTGGTAAGTTGTCATTTATTATTGATTTATCTTAATGCAGAATTGCTGCCTAATAGCTTTAGCTGCTTAATTTACTAACAGAGAGCATGACTGACTAAAAAGGATAATTGCATAATCTAGTGTTAATATAAACTGTGCAGAACTAGTGGTTTTGTTTTACAGGTTTAGAATTCTTTTGTCTCTGTACTTGTAAAATTACTGATGCAATATGCTGTTCTTAGTGTACAGTAAGCATCCTCTGAACTGTACAGCTTGCTTTCTTTCCTGAAAAACAACAGATAGTTATGTTCCCTAATCAGAGTAGTAAAATAGTATTTGCACGGTTTGATTTCTTGAAAGCCTTAAACCTTTGGACAATCTCCAAGGCAATTATAAATGTGAAACACTAAGAGTTTTACTTTAGGACGAGTAGACATTGTAAGCCAAGTTGTTTTGTTGACAGTTATTGATGAATAATATAACCAGTAGATAATAATATAATGAATTTACACAGGCTTATGGCAGGGAAAACATCTTATGGAAGGAGCTGAGCAGCGAACAAACTTAGGAGACAGTGATCTGTTGTTGTTTTGCCAGAATCAGTGTGTAGAACTGGATGGGTCACTTTGACATATCTTTGCTAAATGCTTTAGGTTGTCTTCTGTAAAATTAATTTCCTATTTTATTGTGTTCCATTTAAGCTAGATGTATGAGTACTTTTTCACCAAATATTGGAGGCTTATGCTTTGAATTTGAACTTTGTTCACAGAATTTGACTACATGAAATTGCAGCAAGAATCTTATTTAATTCTCCAAATATATATATAAGTATATGGGCTATGCTTTGTAAACATTTTCTTGGCATTCTGTGTTCCAATACTCTGTAGAATAGAAGCATAAGGGAAAATAAGTGTTTTTGTGGGAATATCTTGTAGTGTTGATGAACAGCTCTTACAAAATGAAACCGGAAATTAGGACCCTAGACTAGTCTACCCTGGCACCGTCAGGTCTGAATATTTCCAGTGAAGGAGATTCCACCACTTCTCTGTGTTATGTCTTCCAAAGCTCAATTGTTGTCATTTTTTTTTCTAACATCCCAATGGAATTTCCCCCTGTCCCGTAGACAAGAGCAACTTGTTTATTAGCTCTTGTCCTGTCTCTGCATCCCTGTGAAGACAGTGTCACAATCTTCTCTGTAATTACAAGACTGTGCATAGAGCCCCCTCAAACTTCTCTCCTTAAGGATAAAGGCATTAATTGCTATTCTAATAACATCTGATAACAGAATGTTTTGGCAGAACACCATTGTTTAGTGCTCGGGTGATCAGAAAAGGATTTGGAAATGATATACAGAGAGGAAATGAACAGAGGTTGACCAAAAAGAAGGTGGAAAAGTCTTTTCAGTACTGGATAGTTCAGAGGAAGGGATTATGTAAGCTGAAGAATAATACTGGTCTTGAATCTAATAAGTAAAAAGAAATAAAATTTCAAGATAAAAAATTACAAACTTTCAGAAGGTAGTTGGAAAACAAATCAGTAGTAATAGCCTGTGGCTGAATGATTTTTCTGTGTCCCATGTGAGGGGCTTGAAAGGAATCTTCATTTTTTTTCCTTTTCATATATTGCAAGAAAGATTCAATGCATCAAACATGAACATGTGGTCAATAACTTTGGTACATGTAAATATTTCATCTTTAAAAGAAATATGAAGCTTTATGCTCGTTCTCCATGCTTCTGGAGCTATGATTACTGACTTCAGTAAGCTGTGAGATAGCAAGGAGTGTAGCATAGGTCACTATGGTTTAAATAATGATCTTTGCTCTACTAAGTGAATTATGAAACAAATTCTTACATATTAGGAATTTAGAAATAGACACCAATTTCTGATTTAAAATTTCTGGTTTTCTTTGGAGATATATTTTGGCTTCTCCTACAGGTTATAGTATTGAATATATTGTAGATGCTTCGAGTCTGCTATTCTTTAACTCCATTGTATTAGACTTCCTTATCAGTTTGTTGCCAGGACCATTTTCTGAAATATTGTAATGATGACAGTAAATGACCTGTTTTCGCTTCCATTTGTTATGCATTAAAATTTATAGGTAGTAGTTAAATCAGACTGTTGAACTTGAATAATAAGCAATTTACCTGGCTAAATTCCACTAAATGCAATCCCTTCAAGATGTCCTTTAAGAATAATTGCTGAATACATTTTTCTTTACAACGACCAACTTAAAGAGAGCTGTTGTCGCAAATGGAAAATAACAGTTTATCGTTTCAGCTTCTTTTCATTATTCTTGTGTCTTTTGGCAGCCTAAGTTGTTAGAGGTAGAGGGGCATTCCTGTTTTCTTGGTTTGAAGGAAACTAAATACTGTTGAAAAAGTTGTTCACAATAGCGTTTAGGTTGAAACATCTGGTCCAAAAAGACATAGGACTCCATGTCCCCTTTGTGTATCCTGTCAAACTCTTCATTCTGTTTTCCAGGTTAAATGGAAAGTTGCATCATTTCCATGCTGCCTGGCAACCCACACTTAATGCCACTGTTCACTAAAAAAGGCAGAGCACTTAAATTACGGCTATGGACAACCTAGCAGAAGGGGCCTGTTTGTCTTGACTGAGTTGGTAATTAGTATTGTGCTTAGACAGTCTTCACTCCAATCATGATATCACCAGCTTTGGGTGTGCAAAAAGATTTTATTTCATTAATTGGTGCCTTTAAATTTTTAAATTTTCTTTTGAAGTGCGTTAAACTTTAGAATTCACCTACAGAGGTTTGCATGCTTGAATGTGGACAAATTAGGTTATAATTGAATTGTAAGTGTCCTTTGTAGGATTGTTTTATGATATCTAACCCAATTACAGAGCTGGAAATAACATGGTGATGAAATGTGAGCTTATATTAGGCTTTGTCATGAAGTGCAGTGTTTGTCTAGTGATGGTTATGAGTAATGTGTAGAATAGTACGCGTCCTTCTTGCCTTTGCACACTTTAAATCTGCTAAGGCATTATTGTAAAGCCTGCACTACTTTGAATGCAATGTTGTATAAAGATTGTGCTCTGGCTTCACGTCATGGCTGGGTAAAGATGGGACCTCTGCTTCTAAAACACTGAGCTCTTGTTTTTCTCTGTTCTCCCTCTTGCAGCCTTCAGCCATGCGGTTGTTTCCTCCTCTTATGCCAAACTGGATGTTATATAATCACAAAAAGTAAGCCAGTGCGGCTCACTAACCCAGCACAAAATATTGTCATCTTGAGTTAATCTTGTGCTGTTTTTAGTGAATTGAGCAGACTTGGTTTGAAATCGCTGTGCATCAAAACTGGGATTTGGGGGCGGGAAGGTGCAAAAGGGAGCAGGCAGGAGAGAATCRAGGGGGGCAGCCCCCTTGTGCAAGTGCTGAATGGTCGCTTGGGTCAGACCACGCTGTGGAACTGCAGCCCTGCTCCTCAGCTGGTTTGGCAGCACGGGTGCTTCTGCACCCGCAGTGGTGAAATGGTACAGGACAGCGAGGCTTTAGGCTGATACTTAGCTGACAGAACCTTATGTTTAAAGCTGCTCCCAAGCAAGAATAATTTTAGGGGTGCCTTGCTTCTCTTCATCCCATTCTCTGACAAATAGATGAATAAATCCTGAAAGAATATTTCTAAATGGACTGTATTGTTCCTTTTTATTTCCAAGAGTTTTATCTCTCCCTTTCCCACTACATGGTGGTTTGAGAGCCTATAAGAAATTCGAAGTCTGTTCGAGCTTCTCCTCAGTGGCTCAGCATTGTGCTTGCTTCCATAAGCTGGCTCTTGGCTCCCATCACTTTGAGTATAGGTCAGCTTCAGATCTCCCTGAATCACTTGCATCATGTAAAATCTGATAGCTCCCCTGACTGACACCTTGGCTGATAGAGTGCAAACAGCTGCTATCCCCAAYCCGCTTTTGCATTTGCAAGCTTAAGCTAGGTGGAAGAAAATCATTGCTGTGACAGTGTAAAACCACGTAAATGTTCAGTAGCCCCACAAAAGATGTGATATATTTAGCGTCTTTAGTCTAGTTTCTGCACAGCAGCTGCCTCACTTCCTGATCTTGAAATGACATGTCATCTGTAATAATATTCACCACCGTCATACACAATACATTTGTTTCCAGCAGTGCAGGAAATGGTTTGGATGAGATACACTGCTAACCATACTGACTTCCACCTTCCCCACCCTCACTCACCCTCTTCTGAGGATTTAAAATACAAGAGAAGAATCGGATGATGCCAGTGTTGCTATTGGATTTGCAGAGATGACGGACAGCAGTGAAGTCTGGCACAGGTGCCCGTCTGAAGCAGTGCTTGGTTTTGCAAACATTGCTGTGACTTGAAGTTTTCTTCCAAATGACTTTCATCAGTCACAGTAGAATAATTGTGGAAGACGTTAATTATGTAAATGTTGCAGTGTCTGATCTTAGTTTTCAGATAAGACATTTGTAACTGGCTCATATAATGGTTCCGTATTAAAGCCAGCTTTATTTTTAGACACACTGGGAAGCTGACGGCTTTTCACCAAGTAAAAGTTTAGTGATTTATGCTGTATAAGAAGCCTAAACCAGTAAGAAGTAGAGAAAACAATTGGCTCTGCCAATTTTTTAACACTTTCTTGTTTGTCTGCTTTTTAAATTTTGTATAAATATTGGTAGAATATTTACTAAATAATAGGTACTTTTAGGTATTTATGAATATATAGAATTATGTTCAAATAATAATTGGATTAACAATAAAATATAACATTCTGAATATTAACATAACTGTTTTTAAATGTACTTCTTGACAGGCTGTGCTGTCAAATCACAACTGTTCTTATATAACTGAGAAATATTGTGCTATGAACATCTAGCATAACCCATGTTAATTTTTATATGCAAAACAGTGGAAATAAATGTTAAAGGCAAGTATTTAGTCTGTGGGARGATTGAAGAAGAGATCGGAAATTTGGGTTAGCACCTGCACATGAGGAAACAGAATTACTTACACAGTAAAGCATAATTTACCAAAAARTGTTAAAAGCTTGAAGACCTTTAAGTGCAGTTTCTTCTACTTTTTGGCCTGTGGACCTGTAGTGAAATTGGTGCTTTCATTCTGTGCACAGAGATTTTAATTTAAAAATTCTTGAATTTGCTTGAAGTCCTAAATGACTTTCTTCAGTCTGACTGAATCTGGCATTGGTGGGATAAGACAAGATTGTTCTTCTCAGCATAATAGTAATAATAATAATATATTTCCCTTATGTCCCAGGATGTTACGTTGTGTTTGAGCTGATTGAAGCAAGTGCTGCCTGGTTTGAAAAGGCTGCCCCGCGTTGCCGGCGGCTCGTTGCACGGCCAGCACGTGCCCAGTGTGCAGCTGGAGCACAGCAAGAGTCAACAGAGCCCAGATGTGTGGGACTGATYGTGGTGTGTGGGACAGCTGTGCTCAGTAGCACTGGAAATGGTGGCAGAGCCTCTTGCTTTGAGCCCGGGGTGTGAGTTGATCTGGGCTTAGTGAAAGGCCATGGATTCGGACTCATTAGGAGGAGGGTGTCAGCTCAGGCTGGCTAGTTCCCTGAGCAGGTTGTCTGTGCTGAACTCGGAGCTGCTGCTGATTACCTTGCTCAGCCTGCTTAACCAGAGCTGGCCTAGCTGCCTGTACAAACCAAGTGTTTTTTGTTGTTGTTTGTTTGGCTTTTTTAAAGGGTATATTCAGAGTTTGAACAAACCTTTTACCGTCTACTTCCTGCAGAGATTGTTCTGACCTAAGTGTGTGCATGGAGGCTTTTTCTTTTCAAATTTCTAGCCATTTCTCTCTTAATTTGGACACATCTACTGGCTCCAGTTCATTTAATTCCTGAGGAAGTAGGCTGAGCAGCAGGAGCTACAGTATTTTGTTAGGGCGAAGGAATGAAACTGTGGTGGGAAGTCAAGGAGTGTGTGGAGCAATCAGAGTGGAGGCCATGATGGAGGCCCAGAGTATTTGAAGTGTTGCTGAGGAAGACAGAGGATTGAGCGGGGAAGTGTCAGAGATTTGGAGGGAAGGAAAGGTACGAAGTGGAGTTGGCTAAGCTCTTCTTATAGTTGGGCACTTGAAAGACCTGTCTGTGGTGCTGCTGCACGAGAAGTCAGCAGGGGATTGTCTCTTTGCAAGGGCATTGAAGTTCCTGTAGCTGCCTCTGTAGTTTGCTGCCGACCTTCCTCTTCCCTCCACACCCTGGAGAATATAAATATCGGCCTTGCTGGCCTATGCAAATGTCTATATGACATTTCTAAAGTATCTTATGCTTCCAACTCTTACGTTGTGTGATAATGAAAATATAAGCAGAATGTGTTTTAAGTGGCAAGCTTTGGTCTTCTGTTCCATTTGTTTGTTGCACTGCAAAATGGCATTCAGACTGCACTGAAAAGACTGTGCATCTGAAAGGCTTAATAATGCTAAGTTGAAGCATACAAGAATGTAAATAACAATCGTTTAACATGTGCTCTTGGATAGTTTAGGGTATAAGTAGAAGTATGTGGCTAATTAGTGAGGATATGCAGCTTACCTACACTATAACAAACTCTTCTGACATCTAATGTATTTATCATATAAATATGTCATTGCAATAGAGTTTATTTGGTACTCAGAATAACAAAATGTCCAATTCAACAACAACAACAAAAAATTTGTAGGAATTACTTCATATTTCTCATTATCTTGCTTTCCAATGAATAAAAGCAAGGTGCAAATGTGTGTTAAATCTGACTTGTACATGCAGCAAGAAATTTTTTTTCCTAACATGTCTCTTARGTTTGTCTAAGTAGAAGATTCTTAGCATTAAAATGGCTGTGAACATGGGTTAGTAGCTATACTGAAGTTGCATAGTAATTTGACATTAGAAGGAGTGGAATACGTATAAATGGATGTTGAATATTTTAAATATTCTTTCTTYTACTCTGACTTGTGCTGTGCCGTGCTGGAGTATGATGAGAGGAAATTTTATGTTAATCTAATGAGCTGCTTAAGTGGAGATGAGAATATGAAGAACTTAGATTAAGAAATTATTTCAGATATTTTTGTATGGAAGTATTATAGAATTGTCAGACTGGAAAAAGAAGCGTTTTGCCCTTCATATATTGCAATATATTTTTGCCGTGAGAACTAGACCTAAGGTGGGCTGGGGATGTTGCCCTGTTTTAAACTTCAGCACTGACCTCTGCACTGAAGTCCAGMGCTCTTCACAGAATATTTATTCCTTGAAAAAGAAAAAGCCTTAAGTGAGGCAGATGTCTGTGTGAGGCCAGGGATTGTACCTTCTGCAACAAGTAAAACTTTCAATATTAATTAGACAAACTATACTGTTTCTACACACAATGCATATGTATCCATTGTATTTGTATTGTAATTGTTGCAACTTGATCAACTCTTCCAGAAGAAAATGACCAGTTTTAATCTTCACATTTACAAATACTGTTCTTTTACCAAAAATAGACTATGTGCTTAAATGAATGTTGGAATTCCTAGACTGCTTTCAAAAATTCTCTTCCAGAATTGCTCAGATAAAAATCCTAACCCAGGCTTTGCTCCCTGTGTGCTCACATTCCTTGTACTACTCCGTTATTTTTAGACCACARCAAATTTTGCTGATTATTCCATGCAAATCATGACACTTCCTTTTTTTTCTCAAGTAATCTGGGTAAAACATGCATTACCTGGAATGTTAGTCTAGCTGGTGGAACGAAGTTATCAGATCTAGTAATTGTGAATTCTGTGATTCTGGAAGTGTTTGTAGCAGATGTGAGAAAGTTGCTGTAGTKAAGTGCAAAGCAAGGTCTGAATGAAGACTGCCCTTGCATGGTAGGGGAACTCTTAGACAAGCATAAATAAAATTAACTTTTTTTTTTTAAGTGAAAACAAAATATGCTTTTCCATGTGATCTTATTGTGAGTTATTGGTAAAATATTTATCTCCATTTTGGAGCAACACCTTTTTTTAATCTGCAAAATTTATTCTATTGAACAGCTGTCACAGTGCACTGTAAATTGGTATATTTTACATATCAGGGATTAAGCTGAGCGATCTCCACAAGGAAATTTCCATAAAATTACAACTTAATCCTGCCTTTGAGACATCTTTTAAGTGATCTGTTAGGATTCTAGTACTCCTGTTTACTGCTGTTTTAAGATTTTTCTCTTGGCCTCTTTAGTTCTTGAGTGAATTCTTAGCATAGTTACTATTTGGGATACAGGAAATTCCTGGGGGAAGGGAGGTTGCATGTAGCTGTGTATTAATAGCTCAGCAAATGAGCTGCATCTGCTGCTTTACATGGTGACCTTCCTGGTTTGCTATATTCTGCCATCGTTGGAGTTTTTCTACTTCTGATACCTGCATCCATTTAAAGTTTTTTTTTTCTGATCTAGAAAGCTTTTAGATACCTCCYTTCGCCCCACTTGATTGTAGATTGCTGGGTGGGGAGTGTTTGTCATGATTAGTTACACTGAAAGGCTGGTGCCTTAAGAAAAGGAATGGGGAGTCTGAAGGCATAGCCAGGGAATGCTTTGTGTACATGAAAAATTTGACAATACATGTACTTGTTAGTGAATGCTGATTTAAGTTACAAACCTATTTACCAAATGTATTAGGATAATGTACCTTGTATATCTAATAACCTCAAATTAATATAATAGGAGCTACTAAAATTTGTTTCAAAGAGAAGTAGAGTTGAACCTAAAGGAGACAAGGAAGTTATTAGGAACCCTGGGTKAGAATTCTGTATCGGATATAAGTCTCAAAACTGGACAACAAAACAATAAAAGTAGGTAGTGTAACCATCACTGTCATATTCTGTTTCACTTTCATTGACAGTCTGATACTCAGTTTCACAAYAAATCAGTTTTTCGTCAGTGAGAATAAATTGGACAAGGGATGCAGAAAGATAGCTGTAATAGTAATGAAGAGCAATTAAAACTTCTAAAGTTTCCGTTTAACAGCTAATATTTTGCAATAGTAGAAGCTGTACCTAAGGAAGAGCTGTTGGTGCTGTGTCGTACATTTGGGGAGGAAACAAAGTATGGAGAACAGACCAATAAAGCCATTTTATCTCTATCAGATTTAAAGGGGATAGGCTGAGGTTGCCAGGATAGGGTCCTGTTTTTTGGCAGCTCTTGGGGCATAATTGCTGATGAACCCTCATAGTTYGTTGCAATTTGATGTAATAAGTTCCTTTTGCTTTCTATAGCCTTTTTTTGCTTTTGCAAATGAAGAAAAGTTTTCTGAAAACGGATGGATGGTGTATAATCCAATGTGTGAATACAGGAGACAAGTAAGTTATTAAAGCAACAGTTGCCCAGTGTTTTCTTAGCTGTAAGATTTGTCGCTATAGTTTAACTTAGCAGCTCTTTTGTGGAGAAAGCTGAGAAATGGAGAAAGCTGAGAAATGGAGAAGACAGAAATGCAAGATTAAAGAAAAAAACAAGGTGGAATAACAAACACAGAATATTCCAAGTTAGGAAATGAGAATGTTACAGAATATTAAAATATTAGAAATATATTTAATAGAAGTTTATATGAAAAATAAGAACCCTTGAATTATTTTCTCCGTAGTTCTTAATGGACTAAGGTGTATCCAGACTTCTACRTAATCTGTTTGTTTCAAGGTTTAGGGACTCAAGAACCTCCCCCCTATAAAGTAAATACACCCACCTAAAGCCTGGTTTTAAACTTGGAATCATATCACACTACAAGCAAGAAAAGGTTATGATCCAGTTTCGTCTCTGTTTCAGGACTATCTTTTTTTTTTCTGAAAGCAGAATGGAAAGGTGGCTCTCTTTGAGAGAGGAAGGGAAAACAATTTTCTTGCCTTGGTCTGAGGGTTAAAGAAACATCTGCTAGTTTCTAAACTTGCAGTGAAAACACGGTTGTGTGTAAGGAGGTGGATTTGATCTAACTGCATAGCTGTGGAGCATCAGCAAAGTGGCCTTTTGCATGATCTTGTAATCTTCTGTTTTGAATCATCCTTACTTTAGGTAGTCGGGTTAAATTGGTAGGTTGTTGCCACCATGTGGCCATAGTACTGTGTTAAATTCAAGAACAGAGCTATTCAATGTATGCTTGGCTATATAAGATGAACAGCTTTTTTGCTGCATTTTAGGGGCTGCCCAATGAACGGTGGCGAGTGACTTTCATTAATGAACACTATGGACTGTGTGACACATATCCATCACTCCTGGTAGTGCCATATAATGCAACAGATGACGACCTCAAGAAAGTGGCTGCCTTTAGATCCCGAAACAGAATCCCAGTGAGTATTATATAATAAATTTTGACGTACTGTGAAAGTACTTTGAAGTGTGCATAGAAACCATGCTCTGCTGAACACGACGCAGTGCTTTTTTGGATTTGGTTGCGACAAAACAGGTTGAACAGGCCGATTTTACTGCTCGAAACTAGTATGAGGGCCAAGCTTTGCAGTTTCCCCTACAACAATCTCTCTTTCTGACTTTGGTTTTTAACTTTCCTTTTCTAGTAACAACCGCTGGCACTGCAGATTCCCCTTTCTTAATGAAGTATGAGCTTTAGGCTGCCGTCTGTGGTAGTTTGTTGACTTAACTTTTATTCCCACGGTCAGTCCTAAAACAAAAATTCCTGTGTAGTCTATGTACTAAGTTCCTGAGTTTGTTTATTTCAGTGCTGTAAAATATTAAATAGTAATGAGTTTAAGATAAATCCTTGTAACTTAGGTGTGTCACTGTAGCTAGAATTCCTTGAGATATCTTTATGTAGCAGCTCTGGAAATAAATGCTTTACAGCATTGCACATAACACTAATTTCTAGTACAGTACAGTTTTTAATCATTTTTAACTTGACAAACTCGAAAGAGGTGTTTTTTTCTTAGCCAGTGTGAGCCAGTGCCTCAATTCTCAAATACRTTCAAACAAATGTGATGAAAAATACCTACTAGATTTTATTTACTGACAAGGTAGGGTGGTTATGCATTTACATGCCCATGTTTATCACCTGGGTGTATCATCTCCAACTATATGGCAAGGCTTTTGTATGGTCTGTACAGTGTGAATCACCTCCTTAGTAACAGTGATTTTACTCTTGTCAGGAAATAACCAGTCATTGGCTATCATGCAAACTGACACTTCTGGTTTATAGATGCACAAGCATGTGTTTCAGTAGTGCTTGAATTATTTTGTCAGACTTTTTTGAAGTCTGACACACAACTTTATCAATTGCTGAGATTCTGCTTTCTTAAGAGTTTTTCAGAATAAAGCTGGATTTTTTTTGCACTACTTTTTGGGCTGCTTCTTTGTCATTTCTTGTGCTTTAATCTGTTTCCTGCGCTGCACACTATGTCCTCTTCTGGTCAGTCCCCTCTATCTAAGAAAAACAAAAAAGCATGCATTCTGCTCCGTTAGCTACTATTTGTAAGGAGGACAGGAAAACAAAAGGCATTTCTAAGTGAAGGACAGATAATTAGACTACTGCAGGAAGGTTCAACTTTAATTCCTTATCCCAAAAAGGAGAAATTTGTCTTGTTCTATCAGAACATCTTAGTTCCTAAGATCTATTCATTCTTCTCTGTTGCTTCTTAGTTTTAGCAGGCATTGCTGTATTTATTTGGAGATTACTTTTTCACAATTACTTCTACAACCTGAGATGTAGAGAAACTACTAAAGTATACTGGGTCATATAAGCATATACAACTTCAACGAGTAGCATATATAAGAGAATTCTTTTTTTTAAAGATATTAAAAACATGAGGCTAACTGGAAATAAGCTGAGATATCTGAGAATTATTTCGAAGAAAAAAATGGTTCATTTCCCCATTTTACAAAATGTAAATTTAAACTTGAATATATGGCTTTCAACAAACTATTTCTTGATGATTTTCTTGTTGTGTAACTAGGTTCTATCATGGATTCATCCAGAGAATCAAGCTGTTATTATGCGATGCAGTCAGCCCCTCGTTGGCATGAGCGGCAAACGGAATAAAGACGATGAAAGATACCTTGATATCATCAGGGAGGCTAATGGGCAAATATCAAAGCTGACCATCTATGATGCTAGGCCCAATGTCAATGCAGTCGCCAACAAGGTAAGCATTTTAGTAGTCGTGTTTGGCAACACAGTAAAAGCCCAAACTCTCCTTCGTATTTAGGCAAATCCTATTCTGGAGAGCATATGTATGTAAAGCCATGTTCACAGGTAGGCATCCTTAGTTTGGTTCTCCATTCACATTACACAGACTATTTCAGACCTAACCAGCTCTGAGGAAGAAGAGAAGTAAGTGAGAGAAAATACTGAGCTAGTTTTGTGGGCTTGCGCTCTAGAGAGCATATGGGCAGAAACTTGGGTATCTAGATTAGTATTCTTGCCTAGGAGTCTATAAATATAGTAATTTAGTAAATATATTAAAAGACTAGATATTTAATCTCCTAGACTGTCTGTGCCAATCTGCTACCAAAATGTGTTAATTTCATTTTTAGTATTATTAGAACTAGACTAGCTGGGTCAACTTGAATGACTTCAAGCATCCTGAATGACTTTAATAAAGCATTTTGAATGACTTTAAGCACTTGAATGACTTTAAGCATCTCCTGTGCTTAAYGTACTTTGTTCTTTTGAACAAAACACAGCCCCCAAGTTTTACTCAAATATTTGTAACTCCGAGTTCTTTCTCAGTTCTTTCTGAGACTTTAAATTAGCAAATGAAATCATGGTTGTACCACAGTTGTACTATCTAAAAGTTTTCTATCCCTTCCAGCTCTAAAGTGCTACTACAAGAGCCTATATATCACTAAAGCTAATTTTAGGTCTCTGTTTCTTAGGCAACTGGTGGAGGATATGAAAGTGAAGATGCATATCCCAATGCAGAACTCTTCTTTTTGGACATTCATAATATTCATGTCATGCGGGAATCTTTGAAGAAGTTGAAAGACATTGTTTATCCTAATGTGGAGGAATCACACTGGTTATCTAGTCTGGAATCAACCCATTGGCTRGAACATATAAAGGTAAGGTTGGTTGGTTTGTTTGTTTGTTTAGTGAAAGTAAAGCTTATTGTGATATATCAGTGAAACGTGATATATCAGACTTGCTTTATTTGTTAGATTTTGACATTGTGAAAATATCACAATATACGATTGGGAATGCCTCAGGGACCACAAAATTAGCGTTAYTGAGTATTAGCACCCAATATACCCTGCCCTGCCCTACCCCCTCAAAAAAAAAAGTGGAATGTATTAAGAGATATCATGACTTAACAACAATAGAACATTATATTTATTTTCTACCTCAAGACAAGTTTAAACTTGTAGTACGAGCAAAAGGCTTAAGTTGTAATTCAGCAGTGGTTTTAGTAGTTCGTCTTTAAACCTTTTACCTCCAATATATTTGTACAAGGGTGTCAGACTATTAGGTAATGAGTCTTATTGGAAATGTCAATTTTAAGTTAATGTTTATAAAATAAGTTAATGTTTATAGAATAAATATATTAGAAGGCTGCTACTTCCTTTTCTGAACAACGGAGGTGTTTCAAAGAAAGGAGCTGGAAGAAATATATAATTTTGGAGAGTATTTTCTGTGGTAAATCCTGTTTTAATTTAATTTCACTACAAGTTTAGAGAACCCATCTTTTTCTCCCTTTTTATTGAAGAAATTACTTTGTCTCAGAAAATTCTTTTCTGTTGAATTATTTCAGCATGCTCTTTAGGTCGCTTAATTGAAGAACTAAGATCAATTTATTTTTGTTAGAATAACACTAATCTTCTTGGCTCTTTGATGTCCATTCCTCTTTGTTAGCTGGTCTTAACAGGAGCTATTCAAGTGGCCGACAAGGTGTCCTCTGGAAGGAGCTCCGTGCTGGTTCACTGCAGTGACGGCTGGGACCGGACTGCGCAGCTCACGTCGCTGGCCATGCTCATGCTGGACAGCTACTACAGAACAATTGAAGGTTTTGAAGTTCTCGTGCAGAAGGAGTGGATAAGCTTTGGGCACAAATTTGCATCGGTAAGAATGAGCATGCGATTGYTAGGATTGTGCAACCTCAGATGCTTAGAAGGTTAAGTGAAAGATGTGTGTTACAAGTCCTTGATATATCTCTCCCATGGGAATAAAGAAGTTAGTTTGCCGCAATTGAGAATCACCTTTGAATTTTTGTTCACACCCTCATTAAGCGACAGTTAACGTCTTTCCTGAGCATCAACTGTCAAAAAAACATTCCAAGGGACAAAGTAGGAAATCTGCATGAGGGCCTGGGGAGGCAGATTGTCTTTCCAGGGAGTTTGTGCTGTGGTGTGTAGATGCACAGCGTCATTTGGGAGTTTTACAGCACTGGCTTCAATGTTGGCCTTTGTAACCCTCGGTGAGATGTTTCCACGTCTTCAGTGGAAGTTGTTTGTACCAAGGATTTTGTCCCCACTAGAACGTTCTAGAGATACTRCTTAATATTTCCCCAGAAATAAAAAGAGACCATCTGATAAAATCAAGAAATGGAAGACATATCTTTGTGTATATTTCATGTCCTGTTTTACATTTATAAAAGCATCTGAGTCACTTGTAAGTCAGTATATAGGTGTGTATATATAGGGCCAATTAATCACTTGGAGCTTTTTTTCTAGCGTCTTTTGGAATAGTTTTGCCAGGCTTGTGTGCATCCAAATCTCTTCTGATTGATGTGGTAACTAATTTTGAGATCAGAAAATAGGATTGCTCTATTACAGAAGCCTTMATAAATAAGAAACAGTGTCTATTCATCATAAAATCACAAAAAAAAAGTTTTGAGTAACAGAAGGCTGTATTGCTCTATTTCAGAGAATAGGCCATGGTGATAAAAATCATGCTGATGCAGACAGATCCCCCATCTTTCTCCAGTATATTGACTGCGTGTGGCAGATGTCTAAACAGGTAGGTTTGAACGTTCTTCAACAGGTAATATTAGGGGATTAGTGACTTAAAAACCTGGACCTTTATAAATGGAGGTATATGGCTATAGGAAAGCATGCCTTTCTTTTGGCTCTGACACCTTAGTCAGAAGGAGCACTTCTCAAGTGTGCCATCCTTCATTATTTCATTGGGTGCTTCATATGTGCTTCTCTGATGATTTTACAGGTGTGGCCCAGCAAAATATCCTCACAGGAATTGTTACTGGGCTTCGTAGGATCTGTTTCATTTCATTTTAGTGAAGGTTTTCCTTGAAGTATAAAAACAAGCTATGTTTGTCAGCCCTTGAGAAGGAAAATTGGGAGCTGTTAAGTGCTAAGAGTTAAACATACTGTTTTCAGAAAGTAACCAAATAGAGTAGCAAACCTAGTACTCTGGGAGCCAAGAATTAGGAACTAAACCCTGATCTTCCTATGTGACATTGCCAAATTAAGAATACAATCTGTGTGTGTTGTTGGGGGAAGTATTCTGACTGACTACTATAAATGGAACTGTAAACATGCAGTTTTGTGGGTTTTGCGGGGGAGGAGAAGGGAATTAAAGGCASTTAGATACGGTTTTTTTGAGAGGATGGAAATTCTCATCAATGACTAGATTGAGGAGATTTAACACCATGATACTTGAACATTTACTTTAGAAAGTACATGTAAAAGTTAGCTTCAAAGTCATTTTTGGATGACTTGGCTTCTAAATGACTTTTGTAGCCCCTTAAGCAGGGCATGTGGATCTCTGTGCTTTTACAGTCTAAAGAAAACATGTCTTTCTCTGTGTGTTAGTTTCCTACAGCCTTTGAATTCAATGAGCAATTCTTGATTACAATCCTGGATCACTTGTACAGCTGCCGATTTGGTACTTTCTTGTACAACAGCGAATCTGTTAGAGAAAAAGAGGTCAGTCAAGCCACTGTTCTTTTGCTTGCATTGATTGCACTGCTGTTCTTGACTCCAGATGATTGCAAAAAGCTTCAGTTACATTCCTTATGCCACAGACTGTTTTATTCTGGCTTTCTTCTGGTTGTGCAGCTGTTGAATGGTAATGTGTGTGATTTTTGGTAGCTTAAAGACAATGCAGTCACTAAAACTCTTGTCAGGAACTTTTTCACGCGTTTCTAACACAGTATCTTGCGCTTTTAACTGAATAAAAAGTATTTTATTTCTAGAATATAATCATAGTTTCTGCAATGGACTTGCTAATTCTGCACAAATATTTACAGTTTATATTTCATTTTCATTTTAGAAAGTGACTGAGAAAACATTATCATTGTGGTCTTTGATAAACAGTGAAAAATCTAAATTCACCAATCCTTTTTATACTAAAGAGCTAAATCGAGCGCTGTATCCAGTAGCCAGTATGCGTCACCTAGAACTTTGGGTCAATTATTACATCAGATGGAACCCAAGAATTCGGCAACAAGTAAGTGAACCATCTGAAATGTGTGAAAGGCTTTTAGACCATGGAAATAGGATAGTATCTGTAACCTGCTTGGATTTCTTTTAACGTTGTAAGCGTGGGAGAGAAATGTGAAAATGATTATTTGGTTCTGTTCTTTGACGTCACCCAACTCGAGAAGCTTTGGTCGAATCATATTTCAGTTTTCTGCTTTTGAATATGTAGCTGATCTATGGACATTTTGYTTAAAGTTGTTAAAATTTAGGCAGTGAAGCATATAAAGACACAGTATCCAAAGATTTATTTATCCCTGKTAAGAAGTTGTAGAGTTCTGAGTATGAGGAGAAGAAAAGGAGCAATTTCCCTGACAAAAACAGTGTTCGCAGTCCAGCCCCTGGAGTGAATTGAGAGTTTTCAAGCAATGCAGTTTGTTTTCTGCAGCTGATCTCCTGTATTATTTACAGAACTCTAGAGGCTGGAGGAAAGCCAGACATACTGTATTTTTTTTTACAAGTATGTTGCCAGTTTTAATTTGTTAAAATTTTTTTTGCTTGCTCTGAAAGATGATGGTGTTTTGCAAGAGGCGAAACCAAGGATTTATTTTAGAAAATGAAAGATTACAGAACATGCAAATTAGCTTTAAATCTACTTTAAAATGTTCTTCATTATCCAGGAAAGGTGGTTGGTGGTAGAAGCTTGTAATTAGAAACGGAAACATGTTTGTTAATTTTCTGTGGCTTCTGTCACAGATTCTTGTTTTTTCACCATTCTTGTATGTAAAAAAAAAAAAAAAAAAAAATCAGCAGAACTTCCTCTCATGCTAATAACTACAGATAAAGCAGTATGTTTTTAAGTGCCTGAATAGTTTGACCCATGGCCTGAAACAACTTTTGGGGATGGACTTTTGTTAGCGCTGTTATTAGAAACATTTTGACCATCAGACTTTCTTCTAAGGAAGAATCTGATCTGTCAGAATGAACATTGTTAATCTTGTATCTCCAGTTATATTACTAAACAGAAGCAGCCACAGATGTTGGATCTGCATTTGTTGCTTTCCTCAGCTGGGGTTTATGTCTTCACGTAGACATGGAAGTCTACTTACAGATTTCACTGTAGTTTTGCATTTGATTTATTTYGGGATAGTTGCAGAATTATTATTGAAAACTTTGTAAAGGAAATTACTTAATCTGAAGACATGTGTCTTAATCTTAGTCTGATCACAATGGCTAAAATAACCGGTCTGACTAAACTAGTTTGAGGAATCTAACCTTTGGAATCTAATCTGTTCTGAAGTCAAGAAGAGAAAAGCCAAAGAGTCTGTGTTTGTACCCATTTTGTACAAGATATTAGGTAATTAGGAAATGATGCTTTGGGAACAAATTGTGCTGGTGAATTTTTTTTTTTTTTTTCTTAAGGCAATAAGAGCTAATTTATGTAAAGCGAGCTTTTCTTTGGATTGAGAGAATTTGAACCCAGGAGGCTCTTGCGTTTTAGAACTAGCTATTTCTATTTAGCCAGCCCTTGATAAATAGGTCTGAAATTGCAAATGCAGGATAGAACCCTAACTGTATGAAAGTGATAAAGGACTAACTAATTTGGATCTTTTTCTAGCAACCAAATCCAGTGGAGCAGCGTTACATGGAACTCCTTGCATTACGTGATGATTATATGAGGAGACTTGAAGAACTACAGATCACAAATAATTCTAAGATACCCAATTCATCGGCCTCATCAGCATCTCCCTCTCAAATGATGTCCCATGTACAAACCCATTTTTGAGGAAAATGCTGGTTCCTTTGTACATTATAATAGCAAGAGGTGACTTGTATGTGTAGTATAAAGACAAAACATGTTAATGCCTTACATTGGATTGTGTCCTAACACAAAATATTTTAGACTGCCTTCATTTAAGGAGGATTTCAAAATGTGCAAAACCAACTCTTTAATTATGTGCCTTTCAGAACCTGTGTATTGGGAACGTTCATAACCAATGTCTAGTTGTGGAGTGCTTAAGAGAGATTTTGGAAAGTCTGGTACAGTTAAAATGAAATTGATTGTTTCTGTAATAATGACTTTAATTTGTGATACTTAGGTCTTATTCTTGTAAGGAAATTCATGCTCACTCTTACATGTTGTGAATAAACATACTGGTATCAATAGGAATTTTCACATTCTGTAAAAATAGGCAGGTATGTGATCCTTTTAGAAATAAGACTTTGGAGTAAAAAACAAATTATGTCTAAAGATTTCAGACAGAAGTGTTAAAATGTTATGGTTAGATGATTCCAATTTTTGCTTAAAATTAAATGAAAATATGGAAGGACTTTTTCTGATTTCTTTAAACAGTTCAAATTTCTCACTAGGTATTAATTGAAGAAAAATCAAAATTTTATATTAGTTTTTCTTTAAACATGACAATTGAACTGGATTGAGAAGTTGTATTTTGGTYAACTGTTTTACATTACAGGCATCACAGGTTATCAGTGTTGGCTGTATTGGTTCTGTGGATTAAACCAGAGTAAAAAGATTTTCCCAAAAAAGCTTCTATAACTAACAGCAGACTTGCAGAGACATTGCTTAAATATCCAGCAACAGCAATTGTCTTAAAGCTTGTGTACGTCTTCTAAAATTAAATGTGCCTGTTTAGAGCAGCTTTCATACCAAAGTAGGCAAAAAATTCTCAGTTACAAATACTGTTGAAAACTTGTAAATGTATAGCTTACTGTTTAATGTATATTTAACTTTGGATAATGAATTTATTAAGTGTTTAAAGGGACTTCAGTATACAGGATTGACATATAGTATGTGCACTTACATTGAATCTTTCAGTGAATTCTTGCTTGAAGCCTTTGTTTCAGAGGCTTCTTGTAAACCTTTCTAATTTGCTCCTTTCAGATATTTTTTAATAGTTGCAAGCACTTCTTACGACAGCACAAACCTTGCTACTTGGTATTTAATTAATGTTTTTCATATTCTCAGAAGTTTTAATGATATTCAGGCAAACCAGGAAACTTTGCAATTCAGAATGTGTAGAGGACTAATATTGTTATTTTAAAGGAGATGTTTTGATGCTTGCGGCTTCGATCATTGTAAATTATTGTACATGTGGTGAGTTTTGATCTGCAAAATATAATAGGATTATATATAAATTTAAGTTTTGTGTAAGTGTATATATAATATAGTTTATTAGAAGTTCTGCAAGTTTATAAAGTGTAAATATTTTGCATATGAAACTAAATTTAAAGCTATAGTTCCATAAAATAAGTCAAAGTTTAGAGGACATCTGAGTATTTTTAGAAACAGTATTTTTTCAAAAAAAAAAATATGCCACCTCTTTAATTCAGTATATACACTGAATTGCACTATTTTTTCAGGGAAGTTCAGAACATACTGCATGTGCTTTTAAAAAATGCACATGCCTTATACACACTTATTTTTGTCCTCTAAATTTCATTCTCCCTTGGATGTTTTTCCAGTGTGTTTCCAAAGTACTTGTCCCATAATCTTAGTCTATTAAGATGAGTGGGACGCACTGTATCAGATGAAGAATGATTCTGGATTGATAACTGCGAACTTCAACTTTACACTTTGAAAACTGTGCATACTCTCGTATGTTTACCTTCCATTTGCTTCTGGCCAATAAGAAAACTAATGTGGGGGAAAATATTTGAAGTTTCTGTATTTGAGTTGAATGCATCAGTGTCATCTGAGTAATGTGGAGGTGTTGAGAAAATGCAGTAGTTTTTACTGTGCAGTCTCTTGCCTTTGGAAGTGTAACAGATGGGAAAGGATTTTCTCCCCCACTTCCTTCGTTACCTATCTGCTGTTGTTCATATCGCCAGTTCAGCTCAACTTCATTCTTTGAAAATCTAACATAGCTATGCGTGCACTTGGATTATTTTCAAGTCAATGAATAAAATATTTGTTTTAACCCTATTAMAAGTGGTGATGGTAATTAGAAAAATGCTGTTCTTCCTGCCTCTTCCCTGGTCCTGGTTCCTGTGGGCCCATGGAGCTGGGGTTGTGGTGGTGGGGGCTGTGCCCTGGGGGCCCTGGCTGCCCCTGTCGTGGGCTCCCTGTCCCCCCTGTGCCTTGGCCTCCGCAGGGCTCCTTCCTCCCGCAGCCCCTTGGCTGGGGCACGCGGGGCTGCGGGCCCGGCCTGGGGCTCCTCGGCGCGGCGGGCGGGCGGCAGCGCGGCCCCCGCCTGCGCCCGTAACCGGGGCCTGGCCTCGGGCGGGCACGGCTAACACTAACCCTG